CCCCCCCCCCCCCCCCCCCCACTACCACAAAAACAAAAATCCTCCCCTCCTTCTTCTTTGTAGATAGAATATTGTTATCAATACTTTCTTATAGAATATAATACTGTAGGAGAGAAATAGATTTAATCATCTGATTTCTAGATATATCTGGCTTCCAAAAAGGAGGTATTTTGAACAATGATATTGTTTGGAAGCTATAATGACTTGAATAACTGGGTCTCCACCATGAAATTCAAGGTTTCTACCTATCTAATATAGATTGAGAATATACAACCTGTAATGATATCTATCTCCTCTACAATTTCTACCTATCTCAGAACATCTAAAAAAGTGAAAAGGGAAGAAATATTGAGTAAAACTACAAAAATTGGAGTCCTCCAGGGTTAAAAGGTCAAAAAGGCAAAATAAAAATATGTCAAAAATTGTAATTTGAGGAACGGGTCTTACCGCGATTCGAACGCGGGGCCTCTCGCAATCAAGACTTAAGGTAAACCCTAAGCGAGAATCATACCACTAGACCATAAGACCGTTGGATGCTTTTTGTTTTCAAACGTATTATTAGATAATATACAGCAACTTCGGATTAGTCATGGAAAAGATAAACGATTGGCCAACGGTAGCCGAGCGTTCTCAAGACCACCATCAAAGACCACCATCAACAAGAGACCGGGCTCCATGGAAGATTTCTTGAAAGCATCTCAAAAGTGAGCCATGACCTGGACTAGAGATTTATTCTCAACTACGAGCAACGAAATCCGAAGTGTCTCCATCGCGTTCCTCCAACGAGCAGCATGCCTGCTGAAACCGCAACTCCTCCAGGTCCGCGGGGCAATGCCGGTAGGCGTTTCTCGGAGGACTTCTCTCTTCAACAAATGATACAAATATAAAGTGATTATTGAAACGGAGGATAATTGGTCAGGCGGCGAATGGAAAACCAAAGGCGACAATATACACCATCGCCAAAATGTACAATGTACGCAAATCCGGGTGGTTTAGACCATGAGATCCACCTCCGCCCAGGCACAAAGGCGCCGTTCGGCCCGCTATACAACCTTACCTAGGAAGAACTAAAGGTTCTCAAAGAATACATCATCAAGTTAGAACGCATCGGGTTTATCCAACAATCCACGTTAGAGGCCGGGGCTCCTATCATGTTCGTGAAGAAGAAGGACGGCAGCCTGCGTCCATGCATCGAACGGTGCCAAATCGATATTTAATACCGTTGATATTAGAGGTTCTAAACCACCTGTTCTCGGCAGTCGTTTTCACGAAGCTATATATAAGGCTGCTTTGAGGACATTATTCAGCACTTGCGTCCTAGAATCAGGGGTTTCGGAGAGCAACCAGCGGGATGCTGAGATTTGGTTAGAACACAAAGAGTCTCATCATTCCGGACCCGATTTGGGTCATTCTAGTACTTGGCCATACCATTTGGGCTTTGCAACGCCCCTGCTGTTGTTGTCGATTGTAGCCTGTTGTTGTCGATTGTTATCCTGTTGTTGTCGATTATCATCCTCCTGTTGTCGATTATTATGCTCTTGTTGTCACTTCTCGATCATGTTGAGTGTCTGCGCCTCGCCCCCCTCCGGAGTCTACTCAAAGTGACGCAGACAGCGCTGAAGGGCGGCGGAGAGGTCAAGGAGCGCTCTGACTGTCTCTGGGACCGTTTCAAAGTTATTGTTTAGTCTGGGAACGATGAAGGACATGGTGAAAACGCAGGCTGCAATGGCTCTAGTTGCACTAGCTGCATTGCTGACAATGGCCGATTTCAGATTGCAAGAGCGATTTTGGCTTTAGTCGATAAGTACTGGTAGAAATCTCGTTCAGCTCGATGAAATGCATATCCTGCCAAGCTCGGTGTTCTTGGTTTCTTCACTGGCGGCGTCTCGGGATTTTCTGACAGGCTGGACCTCCCTCACTTGGGACCGTCGATGGATTTGTGAACGGCTCCTTCGTGACCACTCGCACGTGAGGTGTTTCCTTTTGTCTAGTTCTTCTGTTGCTGTTCTTTTTCTACATGTTCTGCTAGAGATAGAATCGAAGACGGTGCTGAGGGACAAGTTGCCTAGGAGCTGAAGAAGTCTAGTGAAATGTCACAAGTGTCGCAAGTATGTTACGCTCACCCATTATAAGGCGAGTCCGCCGAGTCCCTCACTTCTTATAGAGCGTACGCGTTGAGCTTTGCTACGAAAGCGCGGTTCTGAGCGATATGCAGAAGGGCATTGAGGTCACATTATTCTATAGAAGAGTCTACTGTCTTTACAACAAGCCTAGTATCCAATTTTGCTCATCCGTTGAGAACGGTAGCCCTGGTTGGCCTTGCGAATATCTTCTAAGCAGTTATATGTATTGACGCAGTTGGATTGTCGCTTTTCGAACTCCCGAAATTTCTAACTAGTGTCATCGGATCACAATGGGAGCGAGCGCAAGGTAGCTCTGCCATCGGGGTTCCGCTCATCTCGAACCTCGACGTCGCACATCTTCATGTTCTTGTCTCCACTTCCTCTTTGCTCACCTCAGAATCCCCTGCACCTGTAGTTCCCTTCTCAGGATCAGAGACCATATTACCGGGAGCATCAAGAATCATGTTCCCTGAATGAGCGGCATGGGCAAGTTCCGGATGCTCTTCCTTGAGCAGTGCGAATCTCTTCTCTGCATCCCACACCCATGGTGTCTCGGCCGCAAAGAGCAGATCCATCTCTTCGAGCGTTCGTTGGTTGGATTCGGGATAGAGTGCCCAAACCATAGGTATGGTTATTACGTTGCTGATGGCGAATATGTAGAGTGTCTTTTCTCCTATTTTGCTGAACATTACGGGACAGAGAAGAGTCTGCAATAGAGTTGGTCAATTTGATCAATATTGTAATAGGAATGAGGGTAACATACTAGCCAGCCGTTCCCTATACTCCAGCCAACCACTCCCCAGGCGTTTCCTTTTGCACGGATTTCCAGTGGAAATATCTCAGCTGGATAAAGCCAAGGGACTGTCAACCAGGTTGCGCCAAACACGAATGTGAAGATGAAGATCATCGATGCTGCAGCTGCACCGTATTGTGATGCTTTTGCCGTTTCGCCAGCTGTTGTGGCGTCTATCCCCAGCCGGGACATGCCTCCAGCGAGGAACATGGCGATGCCTTGGCCAACGGCACCCCAATACAGCGTCCAACGACGTCCAATACGATCAAGAGTAAAGACACAAATGAGAGTAGAAAACTTTATACCTCGGTCAGATACGGAATTGTCTTTGGAAAGAAGGAGTGTCGTACCGCATAGAAGATGTTATTCAACCCGCTAATCCATTGGCTCTTTTGGGTATCAAACCCAGCAATGCGGAAGATGGTTGGAGCATCTGATCTTGTTAGCTCATTCCAAATAGCCAACTTCTGTGTGAACTCACAGATAGTGACGCCAGCAATCCCAACCCATTCCTGCATAATCTGAAGCCAGATCACAAGCTGTACTCGGCGACCAGTATGCAAATCACCTGAACCTCTTCCAGTGAACATAGCCCAATACGAGGTTCGGTTGCCTGCTTCTTTCTCCAATTTTGAGACATTGAGGATATCCTGAAACTCAGCTTCCGCTTGGATGGCATCCTGACCTTCATCGCCTCGAAGTCTGCCCAAAATGAAGCGAGCCTCGTCTTCGCGCCCGACCTTCACAAGCCATCGAGGCGATTCGGGAAACACCCATACGATGCCGAAGAGAAACAGCAGCGGGATGATCTGGAAGGCGATTGGGAATCTCCACCTGATTGCCGATGCTCCCTGATCCACGTACGAGAGGCCACTTCAAGTAGATATCAGCAAGGGAAAGCCCTTTTCAGTCAGGACTCAGGGGATACCTACAACTCCAGCCAATACGCCACAACCACACCCACAATATTTAGCGTGAACTCAATAGCAATGAACTGGCCACGAGACGTATGCTGTGCGCTCTCCGTCGCCCAGACCGGGACAATCGTATTCAAAATGCCCGTCCCAAAGCCATTAATCAAGCGTGCTAGACTCCCCAAATCAGCATCTCCTCGCCGCAGGATTCCGGAATCGACAAACCAAAGATCATCCAAACATGATTCTGCGCCGAGCACTGCAACGACGCCCCCAGCACACCCCAGGCCGCGCCCAACGCAATCGTCTTAATCCTGCCCACCTTCTCGCCCACCAACCCGCCCGCCAAAGCCCCAACCAAAGTTCCCAGATAATACACCGACACGATGCCTCCCTGCAGCAAACTATCCGTCACCACGGGCGTATTCGGCGATCCGTCCACTGTCTCCGTATGTCCAAATCCCATCAGGTCAATGTAATTCTTCGCGTTATTCACGCCCCCCATCATGCCCTGATCATATCCGAAGAAGAAAATCGAGAGGCCGGCTACACAGTTAATCGCGATGAGTAGCCGTCGCTTTTGGAGCTTGTGCGCTATATTCCATTTCTTGATCTGGTGCCCCATGGCGCTGGATTGGTTTGGTCAATTGATTGATTGGTTTAAATGAATATAAAGAAACCACAATCACTCACTCACTCACTCAACTCACTCCAAGCTCTCGACTTGACGACCTTCGGGGATTCCTATAAATATTTTTTTATTATTATCGTTATTATTAGTATGTATTATATGATTCTCCAACCCCACGCCATGCAGACAGAGAAACAAACTAGCTCCCCACTTCTCAAACCCCCGCGAGTCCAGAACTCTTCTTCCCCGCATCATCTCGCATATCAATGGAGCGCATATGTCAAGAACCCAGAAAGAACTAAAAGAGAGAAAAACGACGATCTTTGACGCGCATGGCTTGGCTTGACCAGGAATCCCGCTTAGTTCGGCGGTAATTGGCCCGACTCGTGTACTGTGCAAGCGTCAAGCGCATTTCGGAGAGATTTGGGGTTTCTTGAATGGTGGGGTTGGGATGGGGAGGAAGAAGAAAGAGGCTCTAGATGTTGAATGAATTGAATGAATTGAATTGAATGAATGAGACCTAAATAACACGGGAAAAGCTAGGTACCTTGATTCTGAATCGGGTATTCGAGTATCTATATAGCTTATTGTCTCAGCTACCTTATGTATGTATTACCATACACCATCTCTACACTGATATGCACCTCACCACAGCTAAAGCAAAGCAACTTCCAATTATTCACCTCCCACAGCAGCAGCAGAAACAGCCGCAACCCGTTCCATCCCGAGCCCTTGCCCAGCAGCCTCCGCATCACCACCCTGTTCACCGCTCTCATCGACAATCCTCATGCCCCCTTGTTCATCCCACGCGATCCTGCCGTCGATAGCCGCACGCATCAGCCTCTCCGACGCGACCTCCTTCTCGCCCGTGAACGGGTCCCACGCGAAACCCTCTTTCAACCACATCCAGCGCAGGTACGCCCGGAGCTCCTTGTCAGTCGGCAGGACCCGCATCCATTCGGGCTGGAAGCCTTCTTGCGTGTTGCCTTCGCCGTTCCATCCATCTGCGAGCCCGCGCAGTACATCGCGACAGAAGATGCGCCACGAGTCGATCGCGTACGGGCCTTGCGTCATGTGGCCGATCTCCCAGCCGACCCGCTCGTCGTCGTCGGCGAGGATTTCGCCCTTTTTGACATCTCGCCCGGCGCCCTTGGTTGGGTAGTCGCGCACGGCGTAGCGTTTTCCTTTGGCTGGGGGGTCTTCAAGCCAGATCTTGGCGTACGTTTGGTAGGTCCCCGCTCTTTGGTTCTGGAGGCCGAGATGGCGGATTATGGGAACGATGTCTTCTTTATCGGCGGAGGCCAGGGCTTCGGGGGTAGGATACTTCTCTATCAGTTCATAGAAGACGGGAATGGCGTGTTTGCCATGGGTGCGGATCAGGAACGTGACTGCGATGAGGAGGTGGAACGGGTTGTGTGCAAGCTTTTCTTGGATGAGCCCGAAGTAAGGGGCCGAGAGAGGCGGGAAGGGGATACAGGATACTATCCCACCGGGGGTGCGAGGTCTCTTGGGTGTTTCTTCTCCGTCAATCTTGGTCTGGGGAGTCTTGGGAGTTTTCGAAGACGAACGCTTTTTTGGAGTTACTTTGGTAGATGGCTCTCCTTCCTCGATGCTCGGAGCTATAGGCGTATGAGTCTTGGGTGGTGAGGGAACAGGCGGGAAATAAGGCGATTTGGCAGGTGTTTTCTTGGCTTTTGTTGATACTTTCTTGAATTTTCCCTTTTCATCTCTCTCTTGAGCAACACCCACCTCGGCAAGCGTTGAAAGGGCAGCATCTTGAACTTCCTCCTCAAGGGCAATGCGGGATATTTCTGCGGCGACATGCTCAATAATAAACCTCCCTTTCGAATCTCTCTTTTGTGATGACGCTGTCGCAGACTTGCTCCTTGATATCGATCTCTCCCTTGATATCTCCCTCTCAGAAATAGAGCTGCTAGCTTCTATCGTAGGAGCGTCGTCCGTCGCAACTCGCCCCCTACTAAACCTCCCATTCGAGTCTCTCTTCTGTAAACCCGTAGCCACAGACCTACTTCTTGACCGAGATCTCCCCCTTGACACCTCCCTCTTAGAAACAGGGTTAGCGTCTTCTGTCGCACCATGCTCCCTGCTAAATCTTCCTCTAGAATCCCTCTTCTTTGAACTCGTCGCCACGGACCTACTTCTTGACCGCGATCTCCCTCTTGATTTCTCCCTCCTATGAGTAGGAGTGTCGTCTGTCATAGAAGGAGTCTCTTCTGTAGCAATATACACACTACTAAACCTCCCTTTAGAATCTCTCTTCAGAGACTTGCTACCTGACTGCGATCTCTCCTTTGATAGCATCCTGTTGGGAGGGATGTCTCCTGTCATAGAAGGATCGTCTTCAGTCGAAGAAGTGTCTTCCGTGGCAAGTCGCTCTCTAATAAACCTCCCATACGCATCTCTCTTTTGCGATGTTGTAGTTGCAGATCTGCTTCTTGTCCTACTTCTTGACCTTGACCTCTCCTTCGGTGTCTTTCTTTGAATGCTCGTGTTGTCCATCGTGACATACTCGCCACTAAATCTCCCCCACGCATCCCTCTTCTGGGTCGCTGCAGCTTGGGAACGAGCACTGCGTTCACCTCGGGATTCTACATCTGGCGTGACAGGAGCAATGGTTGGTTCTTCCATCGTGACATATTCCCTAATAAATCTCCCTTTCGCATCCCTCTTCTGCGAGGTTGTAGTTGCAGATCTACTTCTTGACCTCGACTTCTCCCTCGGTGTCTTTCTTTGACTGCTCGTATCCTCCATTGCGGCATACTCGCCACTAAATCTCCCCTTCTTATCCCTCTTCTGGGCCGCTGCAGCTCGAGAACGAGCACTACTTGCAGCTCGGGATTCCACATCTGGCGTAACAGGAACACTGGTTGTTTCTGTGTTTTGAGATGTAAAATCTTGAGAATCGGCCTCTTCATCAGCCAGACCCGATGTCTTGGCTGTGGTATAAACCACGACTTCAACATGATCCGGCACTATTGGCAGCTTGTCGTCAGGGACATGGGTATCTCGGTGAGATACCCTATCATTCTCCACGGGCGCGGAAGTCCTTTCTAGAGCTTCGGCTTGCGCGAGCGTGCGTTGCGCATCCAGGAACGGTTCACCACCCGCGGAGCCCTGGCCTCCTACGGGTGGTGAGCTTTTGGCTGCTGCGCCTGCTCTTGCGATTCGGCAGCATCCTGCTCTGTCGTTGATGTGCGTTTACGTCCGCGGGCACGCCGCTTGAGTTTTTGGCTGTTGCCATTGGTGTTGTTCAGCTCTGTCAGGGGTTCCGCGGGGACTAGACCTGTTGTTTCGACTTCATTCTGCGAGGCTTTATCTTTGGGATTGCTGTTCAGACCATTACGTCTCTCCGACGATGGGCCGTTGGTGGCATTGGACACAGAGCTTTGACTGCGGGGACGTTTCTCCTGAGATGTGGGAGGCGATTTATGTGAATCCCGCTTCTGTTGACCGTGACTCTTAGACTGTTCACTAGGATCTACCTCAGAAGATACAACTTGATCTTCAGGAAGCTTATTGTGGTTCCTCTTCCGTTTCCGCTTGTGTTTCTTGGCGGAAGTGGTAGCTTCGTCCTCGATTTCAGCATCACCAACTGTGACTGCCTTCTTAGCTTCCTCTATCGCCGTGTGTTGTGACTCTGGACGCTTATTATCGGTCTCTATATCCATCGCCATGCCCTCAACGGGCTCAGGGGGGTTAACCGTAGGTTGGTCAGGCTGGGAGGCATTAACATTTGAATCAGCTTTCTCTGATTCTACTCCTTTCAAAGCTGCCTTCTTCAATTTTCTTCGACGAGCCCGCTTGCCAAGACCCGAAGACTGATGGCCATCTGTTGAAGCATCTTCCACTGTCTCAGAATGCTCTTGTTTGATAGGAGGATCCCCGGGTTTTGTAAAGTAGGCAGATGTCGTTGGACCTGGTTTTGACCTTTTCCTCTTCGGCTCTACTCGCTGGCTCTGCTGTGGAGGTGATACTGTGTGCTCGAGGGTAGCAGTACTGTCTGGAGCTTTCGACGTCTCAGGAGTTCCACCATCGACTGACATCGGTGTTGTGGCATTTGTATTGGCATTGCCATTTGCCTGTTTTGCCTCCTCTAGCTTCCTTGCTCTCTCCCTGGCCTTCTTTGCGTCCCTCTTTGCCTTCTTGGTTGCTGGCTTGGAACCATCAGCTTCAACTTGAGGTGTCGTAGTATCCTCCAAGGTATCTCGTTTCCTCTTCTCACCAGTTGAAGGAATGGCCTCTACTTCAGCTGCAGCCTCATTCTGGGTGGAAGCTTGCTCGGCACCGGTCTTATTCTTCTTGTTCTTGTTCTTCTTCTTCTTTTTCTTCCCTTTCCCTTCACCCCAATAGTAATCCTCTGCAGCCATCAGTTTCGGTACCTGTTGATACCTAACCTCCAGCTCAGATTCCGACCCCGTCTGGAGCTCATCCAACTGCATCCCACCTGCTAGACCCCTAGCGCTCTTCCACGCCGCCACCGCCATCATAGCGTCCACCCTGGCCTTCTGCTTGCCCATCCCAGCCGCCCGCGAGAACGCATACACATCCTGCTGGAACTGCACTAGCCCATCCGTATCTAACTCCGCCTTGGTCTGACTGAAGAACGGGTGCGACCTGGCGAAGTCCCTGATGGGCTTATCCACATCCGGACCTGTATCGTCCCGCGCCTTGCGGAGCATTTCCAGCTCGTCGGGAGGCGCCTGCCCCAGCATCTCCTGTAAGAACTCCTTCGCGTCGGCCTCGACATCAAAGCTCTCGAATACATCCTCTTCCTCGTCCTCGGTATCTTCGTCTTCGCTCGCAGGCCGCGGTTGGCTCGATGGCGGGGGGATGAAATCCTCGGGGCGCCATTGAGGAGGCTGCGTGGCATCACCATTCTGCGTCAGACTCGGCGCTGGTGCCGTCGAGCTCGGGGGCTCGATCCCGTCCATTGTCGTGTCTAGTGTAGCTGCTTCGAGCTTCACTCCCCCCGGGCTCTCGTTCGCGTCCGAGAGATTGGAGGGAGAAGCAGAGCTGCGCGGATCGTTCGAGCTGTCCCGATCCTGCCAGATTCGAGCTGGCCCGGTCATGTCTTTTTGTTCTCGTTCCTTTACACTTCCCACCCCGCCGGTGCTCTCATCTGGGTGTTGCGCTTCCCATTCGGCGAAGGTCGATATATCGGACATGTATGTAGGTGTTTTCGTCTGTGCCTCGGGCGAAGCTTCGCAATGACAAAATCAAGGATCGGAGGAAGGGTAATGAATGTGGGCGCGGTGCGCTGCGCAGTGCTAGAATATAGATGAGGGGTTGAAGAAAGGATGAGGTCGATTTAAACGAAGTTTTTTTTTCCCTTTTGATAGAGCTTATCTTGATCTACGGGATCAGATTCCCGGGTCCAGGAGAGGAGCCTGCTAGCTAATGGGTACTTGGGTCAATCAATGAGAAGTCACAAATAAGGGAAGCCAAAGAATGATTTCAATGTATTGGCACAAGTCTAGACTCCTTCTACATCCCCTCGGATCTTGCTCCCAAGCACAAGTTTTTCTACTACCACCCCTTTGTACAAACACAATATAAGACTAGTAGCACAATCCCTCCTTTCTTTTCCCTCCGCTCCATAAACAAAAGAGAGTCTGTCTAGTGGTGCCTGGTGACAGGGGGTGGGTTATAGAGAATCTTTCTCGTCTTGATCGGAGTCCACTTGTATCGCTTGACCCAAACGCTGAGCGCGAACAAAGCCGAGGTGATAGCCAGGGTCTTCAAGCCCATCTTCTTCCGTTGATCCATTTCAGGTTCCGCAGCCCAGTTGAGGAACTCCACAACATCCTTCGCCATCTGTGATGTCGAGGCTGGGGTTCCGTCTTCGTACTCGACGAGCTCGTTGAAGAGCACTCGTGCCATGGCAATTCCAGTACCAGGGAAATATGGGTTGAAGTTGAGACCCTCTTGGACGTGGGCGCCCGCAGGGGGTTCATCAGGGTATCCAGTCAGCAAGTTGAAGATGTAGTTGCAGCCTCCGTGGCGGGCCTTGACGATCAAACTCAAATCCGGGGGCAGAGCACCGTTGTTGGCAGCACGGGCAGCTTCATCGTTCTTGTAGGGGCTTGGGAGGTAGTCGGAAAGCTTTCCTGGTCGCTTTTCGATCTCGCCCTGGTCGTTGGGCTCGGTGTCGTACTCGTTCTCTTCGGCCATTGCCTTCGCCTCGTCAACTGTGTGGGTGACACCGACTAAGGCGCGGTAGGGGATTCTGCTGAGAGAGTGGCAGGATGAGCAGACTTCGCGGTAGACTTGGAAACCTCGGCGGAGACTAGACTGTGTCAATAGGTGAATTCCAAAATTGGAAGCGTGTCATCCTTACGCTTGATGGTCAAAAGTCTTTGTCCATTGAGTGTGAACCCATGGGTACTGAGTTGGGTGAAGACTATCCAGATGTCAGTGATGGCCATACTTTTGGATGGCCCCGAGGTACAATCTCCTCAGATTGAATGATTGTTGCCCCCTGGCGCCACCCGCTCCAACTGCGTTTTCCCGACGCAATAGAAGCTTCAACGTGACAACTCACCCTTCTTCGGCTGGTGTCATGGCGTGCAGCTCATGGCCATAGAGATGATAGTACCAGGCGATCGATCCAATAGCCACAGCAGTAGCAGCGGATCCGGCCATGTTCAATCGGAAGGGGGTAGCAGCGTCGGCGGAGGAGGTCGAGGATGAGGCGGCACGCTGTGAAACCATTGTCAGCTATCAATCCAACTCAATTGATACATCTCATCGCCTGAGAAGCACCATCGGGTCTCCGCCATCGTCGTCGAGGATGACTGATGTGTTGTCGTACCTTCGTAGTGTTAACCGCGCCATTCCGGACAGCTCCGACCGCGCGCGTCGAGCGCAGGCATGATCTGGCCAACATCTTAAGCACAATATGCCTCGAGCTGGAGATCAATTCGCAACGGAGGCAACAACTCAATTGAGGGGTGGGATTCGTGGATGAGGTCGAGAGTTGACGACGAAATGGTTCCAAGTTTGACTTCCCGGAAGCTTTTCGCTTACTTTCCTAGATTTGCTAAGGTGTGATTGGTCCGGCGATAATCACCGGTTAGTCACGTGGATCGCCGTGGGCATTCACGGACGGGTCCTTGGGGTAAGAGTTGGATGAGGTCTTGTCTGATCAAACTAAGCATTCAAGGTTAAAGTTGCGTTGATAAGTTCTTGTGTTAATTGCTAGTTTCTACTGAGGCCGCATCAAAACAGAGTGGTCTTCTTGAGCCTGAAAGAAATTATTTTATGGAGAACCAATATTAATATTCAGGGGCCGTTGGTCCGTTACGTGAGGTAAGCGTATTGAGTGTATTGTGTATTGCCACCGATACTTTCATAGCATGCACATGCACACACGCAGTTGGAACGAGCATATGAAGCGAAGCCAGAGGTGGAAAGAGATCTAGAAGTGTGCCGATTTTGGATGCTGAGAGGACTGGCGATTAGGGGTTGTGAGTGTGATGGCAGTGATGCAGCTAAGTTTATACCTAAAGAGCTCACCGGATCAAGAAGGGAAAGGGGATAATCTGGAAATGAACGAAGAAGATTCTATCACCCACACTGGCGAAGTTTTCCCGTTACAGGAATGGTGATGATCAGTCATTGAGAACATCGTGAGGTTGTTAAGATATATCAATTTGCCCGATCGACTTCCTGTCTAGACATCGAGAAGCGGGATCTATTCATATAAAAACGACCCTCTATCTGAAGGACTCTAAAACCTCTATTGTCGCATGGCTCTCGCATTAATCGAATTGTCGTCAATTCATACATCATCAGCCCTGGATAGCAAATCCGGGATATCATCGACTGTATTCCGGCCCTCCAGAATATCTGTGAGATGTCAGTGAAATGTGCGCATCATCCAAGAGACCATTGCAACTTACCAATTACCGCAGTAAAAAGGGGATAATCAGCCTCCTTTCCCTTCGCCTTCAAGAACATATTGACCTCCTTCGCCGTACTCGTACCCTGCAACTTCTGCCCATTCAACTCCGTCTTTTCCACCTCATCCACACTAACATTCCTCTCGACAGCCAGTTTGGCACAGCGGAAGTTTCTCCCCCCTGAGCAACTCGTGATCAGATCTGCAACGCCACAACTCTCTTCTGTGAACGTCCCCGCATGCACTGTCTCCCCGAAAAACTCCTGCCCGAATTTTACCATCTCTAGCAAGCCCACGCGCATCACTGCTGCCTTGGCATTATCGCCCCATCCCCGTCCCTCAACAAAACCTGCTGCCAACGCAACGATGTTCTTCAATGCACCACCGAGTGAAACCCCCGCTACATCTGACACCATACGCACGTGGAAGTAAGGGCGATGGAACAGGGTTTTGAAGATGGCATGATCCAGCGGCGGATAGTCGGAGGGTAGGGCCTTCAATTTCACCTTGCTCACCTGCCCCTTGACGTTTTTAAGCTCACCATCCACCGGCGTAATCTTCAGGTTGATTTGCGAGCTGCTAGGGCTGGGTCCTGCCGGCGTGCCCACGCGAGAATCAACAGGCGGGGGATCATACGCAATGGTGGTCTCGGACCATTTCTCTGCGGCGATCTCGCTGGCGATGTTCGCACCTGAGAGTGCCCCACAGTAGATCCCAAGGCCCTCGCCGATCCACTCGCTGAACAAGGAGATCTCAGACGACGTTACGTTCACGCCCTTTATGCAGGAGATGCCGCGGGCGTAGGGGAGGATGTGCCCTTGTAGTTGTTTGGAGATACTCTTGATGAATTGGTGAGGAAGGTTGAAGATCAAGATCGTGGAGTCTCGAACGGCGTCTTGGATCGAGGGATTGGCAACTAGATTGGGGGGGAGTTTGATGTCGGGGAGGTATTTCACGTTCTCGTGATGGGTGTTGATGATGTCGGTGAGTTTTTGGGGTGATGGGGTGGCGGACTTGTTGTATTTTGAAAATGCTGGAAGGGTAACTTCTTCTTCGTAAACCCACATCTGGACGTGCTCTTCGAAGAGGTCGGTATGCTCTCTGGTGTTTTCGGCGACGATCTTGGCAATTGTAGAGCCCCTTCAATGGTTTAGTTGGTACTGCAATAAGCAAGGTATGTAGGGAACTACCCACCAGTTTCCGGATCCTACGACCGTCACCTTGTGCTTCTTCGCATACGCCCCTAGGGTAGCCATCTTGGAGATCTGAGGTGGCGTAAGATGGTTGGAGGCTTGGAGTATTCTTCTCGCAGCCTGGCTTGCGTTTGATGTAAAGATGGACATAGAGGGGGGGGACTTCTTGGGATACTCTCGAATTCAAGTGAAGGAAGCAAAAGAAAGTGAAGACGGAGAAGAGGGAGAAGGGGGGAGGCAAGTGCCTCGGCTGGGTCTCGTGTGCAGCAGGAGGACTGTATGTACAGTAGTACTTTCCTCCGTAATTTTCACAGGTCTGGGATGTGCCTCTGTCGGACAGGAGGGGTTTGTTTTTTGTTGGTGCGAAACGTCCAACCAAGAAATCAGGGAGTTGCGATTTTGCGGGGGGTCACCGCCTACGAAAGGGGAATGGTGCGGGAGAAGGCTTGCTGAATGCCGAGCTGGCTTTTCTATGGTTTTTCTATGGGATGGAACTGATGCAACTGATGCGACAGATGCGACAGATAGAGCAGATGGAACAGATGGGACAAATGGAACAAAATGCCACAAATGCAACAGAAGAAAACGGATCCAGCATTCCTCTGGGAAAGAGTCGAGAGAGGCGCAGGTTCAAGACAGGATTGTGGTTATTTATTGCCACGACCAGGACCATGTGAAGCAAGCTCCTTTGGCCGAAGGGCACAGGGGAGCGCCGCCAGTCCAGCTGTCACTGGTCCATTACCCGCCTCAATTCCCAACAATGGTGATTGCCTCTTTTGGTGAGGTTCTGCGTGGGGAATGAGAAGACTTGCGCATATCTTGATATCTGTGAAGCGGCGGTTCACAGAGCCGTGGTACCGAGGAAGGTAACATAAGATGGTTGATAGGGAAATACAAGCGTCACCACGCACCCAAACATGGAATAATATACAGTAAACTCAAGCGCCAATATAGAGGTTTCTGATGCATTTACCGGATCCCCCCGCAGGGGTTCCTCCGTCGCTGGCCGGTGCTGTACCTGATTCATGACGTCGTTGCCATGCGGGTTAAGACTGAGCTTCACACGAGGACTTACTTGGTCGCTCAGAAGATCTTTAAATACCTACAGCCCCCTCCAGCCTCTTCTCCAATGCTCTTAGCATCATCCTCTTGAGGCTTTCCTGGCTCTCGCCGTTCCGTTCCGCATCCCTTCCTGTTGATCCCAAACCGCCAGCTTGAATCCTCGCCGTCAGACTGCGGCGCCACACAGCCTCGTCCCATCTCGAAGGCTCAACCCAAATACTTTATATCGGGGAACCGCGCCCAATACACGTCCCCGACCTCGATCATCAGTGCTTCCGAGGACAATGGACTCAAACGAGATTTACTTACTCCCTTTGAAGGACGATGGGAGTCCTGATGTTCCCGGAGAGTACATCTATCTCACGCCCAAGAGCAATGCCCCAATAACGGTGCGCTTCGCCATTGAAGGGACATCTTCAATCTGCAGACATGGCAGTCTTTGGGTCAATATCCCAGAGGTGGGCGCGGAATTCCGGAGGGACAAGTTTCGAGAATTCAAGTAAGAGACTTGCGTATAGCAAGAGCTCGCCGACTAACAGAGACCCAGACTTCACCCCGATTTCAACCGCACTCTTGAAATATCCATACCAATCCACGGCGCAGGCGCTTTTGCTTTCTACACTACCTACACCCCTCTCCCCGACCTATCTGAAACTACTACCAAATCGCTCGAACCAACCAGGACCCCAACATACTATATCGATGTTGCCCCGCGCCTCACACTGAAGGGGCAGCGGGTGCCGTTGGCAGCATTATCAATCATCTCTCTGATTTCCAAATTCATGGGGAAGTACCCAACTGATTGGGAGAAGCATCTAGGGGGAATCAGTGAAAGAGGTTATAACATGGTTCACTTTACCCCATTGCAGCATCGTGGATCATCAAACTCACCATACAGTATCTGCGACCAACTGGCTTGGGATCCGGAATGTTTCCCCAACGGCGAGGCTGATGTTGCCAAGCTAGTTGAAAGCCTGGAGAACAGACACAATCTTCTGGGTCTTACGGATGTGGTCTGGAATCATACTGCAAATAACAGTAAATGGCTCCAAGAACACCCGGAAGTCGGATACAATGTCTCGACAGCCCCGTGGCTAATATCAGCCTTGGAACTGGACACGAAGCTCCTGGAGTTCAGCAGAGATCTGAAGATTCTTGGTCTTCCGACTACATTGGAGTCAGTGGATGATCTTCTCAAAATCATGGACGGCATTAAAGAGCACGTGATTGCGAAGGTCAGACTTTGGGAGTATTATGTCATTGATGTTGAGCGTGATGCAGACGCAGTGGTTGAGGCATGGACTCAGGGCAGCATTACATTTCCTCCAGGTGGGTTTGGCGATTCTGGTACTGGAGGTCTGGATTATATCAAGAACGCGACGCCTGTAGAACAAGCAAAACTCCTCAGAGAGAAGGGAATCCTTAACACGGATAGGCTTGGCGAGAGATTCAGGAGACGAGTAGACCCCAAGATCGGAGCAGCTTTCTTGACAGCCATCTTCGGGCGCTATGAAGGGGATGCCTCGGACTCGGCCGACAGAAGAGCAGCGCGAAGTCGTCTGATTCATATTCTAGACGAATTGAATCTTCCTTATTATAAGGAATACGATGTAGACGTTGCGGAGATTCTGGAGCAGCTCTCCAATCGTATCAAGTATGTCAGACTTGATGACCACGGACCAAAACTGGGTCCTATCAATGAAAAAAATCCTCTAATCGAAACTTACTTCACTCGACTACCCCAGAACTCCATCACACAGAAGCACAAGAAGGAAGATCTCGCTCTAGTCAACAACGGCTGGATTTGGGCTGCTAACGCCCTGATCGATAATGCAGGCCCGAAATCACGGGCTTATCTTCGTCGCGAGGTCATTGTCTGGGGTGACTGTGTAAAACTTCGATATGGAAGTTCAAGGGAAGACAGCCCCTACTTATGGGATTATATGGCAAAGTATACCCGTTTGATGGCGAAATATTTTGCAGGATTCCGTATCGACAATTGCCACTCCACTCCTATCCACGTCGCTGAGTTCCTTCTGGACGAGGCAAGAAGAGTTCGTCCGAATCTCTTCGTGGTAGCTGAGCTCTTCACCGGCTCAGAAGAGATGGATTATGTATTCGTCAGACGCCTCGGTATTAGTTCTCTAATCCGAGAAGCCATGCAAGCGTGGGGTACGGGCGAACTCAGTCGGCTCGTACATCGGCATGGTGGCCGTCCCATTGGAAGCTTCGAGGTTGACGAAGTCTTCGGTGCTGACCAGAAGCCAGCCAAGGGGCAGAGAAATGGGCAACTCAAGCGCGATATCATTCGAAGAATTAAGCAGACACCAGTCCATGCGCTTTTCATGGACTGCACCCACGACAATGAAGTTCCTGCCCAAAAGCGCGATGCCCGAGACACATTGCCAAATGCAGCTCTTGTTAGCATGTGTGCCAGTGCAACTGGTAGTGTTATGGGCTATGATGAAATCTACCCAAAGCTGGTGGACCTTGTTCACGAGACCAGGCTGTATGAATCAGCCTCGTCTTCCGGTAAGCCTATCCAGATTGGTGGTGGCCAAGGTGGCATTGGCGGAATCAAGAAACTATTGAATCAGATCCACACTCTCATGGGCAAAGACGGATATGAGGAAACCCATGTCCATCACGAAGACCAGTATATCACGGTTCACCGCGTTCATCCAGGGTCCCGAAAAGGGTACTTTCTTATTGCTCATACTGCCTTCCCAGGATATGGCAACGGAAATGGAGTGCTCAGCCCTGTTCACCTGACTGGTACCAAAGCTCGCCATCTTGGAAGCTGGATGCTCGAGGTCGATACTAGTGAAGAGGCTATGAGAGAGGTTTTGGAGGACAAAAAGAATCTCAGGGGTCTCCCTAGTAAGGTCGTCGATCTAACTGGAGTTGAAGCAGAAACAAAAGGAGATGACACGATCATCTCTGTCTGTGACAAATTTCCTCCTGGAAGTATAGCTCTATTCGAGACCTGGATTCCTTCGGCGGAACACTCAGTTGGTCTTGATACATACGTCACCTCTGGCGCAAATGCAGCCTTCAGGGAGGTGGATCTGGTAGATCTCAACTTTGTTCTCTACCGATGCGAGGCTGAGGAGCTGGCTGAGAGTGATGGCAAGGATGGATGCTACGATATCCCAGGGCACGGGAAGCTCGTCTATGCAGGCTTGCAAGGGTGGTGGAGTGTGTTAAAGGATATTATCAAGAACAACGATTTAGCACACGCCCTCTGCCAAAATCTTCGCAATGGGCAATGGGCGCTTGATTACATTTCAGGTCGACTGGAAAAGATATCCAAGAAAGATGGATATGTGAAACTGTTAAAGCCAGCACAGTGGCTGAAGGAACGTTTCGATGCGATTCGAAAAGTACCCAGTTTCTTACTTCCCAGATATTTCGGATTGGTAATCCGGACAGCTTACATGGCTGCATGGGACCGTGGCCTTGAACTCATGAACGATAATGTTCGTAATGGACAATGGTTCTTGCAGAGTTTAGCGATGGTCAGCGTGCAGCAGATTGGAATTGTCAAATCTGCTTCATTATATCCAAATAAGTTGGTGCCATCTATGGCAGCGGGCCTGCCACATTTCGCAGTGGAGTGGGCTAGGTGCTGGGGACGAGATGTTTTCATATCCGCTCGAGGCCTCTGTCTTGGGACCGGTCGATATGCCGAGTGCAAAGAGCACATCATTGCTTTTGCAAGCGTCATGAAGCACGGTATGGTTCCTAATCTTCTGGGCAGCGGCAAGGAACCCCGATACAATGCTCGTGATGCCATATGGTTCATGCTTCAAACCATCCAAGACTACACCAAAATTGTCCCCAACGGGTTAGATATCTTGAAAGAGAAGGTCTCTCGCCGCTTTCTCCCATACGATGACACCTGGTTCCCTTCGGACGATCCAAGAGCATACTCCAAAACCTCGACCATTGAAGACATTATCCAGGAAGCACTTCAACGCCACGCAACTGGAATGTCCTTCCGTGAGGCCAATGCCGGTCCAAATCTCGATATGCAGATGAAGCCTGAAGGCTTCCAGATTGATGTCAAAGTTGACTGGTCCACCGGGTTTATCTTCGGTGGTAACCAAAACAACTGTGGAACATGGATGGATAAGATGGGCGAGAGCGAACGTGCAAACAGCAAAGGCGTCCCTGGTACCCCACGTGACGGCGCAGCTATCGAAATCACTGGTCTCGCATACAGTGCAATCAAATGGGTTGCCCAGCTACACAAGGAAGGCAAGTATAGATACGCTGGTGTCAGCACTTCGGACCCCAATATGAAGGTGATCACCTTCGTGGACTGGGCGGCCCGAATCCATAACAACTTTGAGCGCTGCTACTACGTTCCCTTGAATTTCAAAGACGACAAGTCATATGATGTGAACCCGCATATCATCAATCGCAGAGGGATCTACAAAGATCTTTACAAGAGCGGCAAGGAATACGAGGACTACCAGCTTCGCGCCAACTTCCCCATCGCTATGACGGTCGCTCCCGACCTCTTCGTCGATGCCCATGCCTTGCACGCCCTCATCCTTGCTGATAAGGTCCTACGTGGGCCTACTGGGATGGCGACTCTCGACCCCGCTGATCTCAACTATCGTCCGTACTACAATAATTCCGAAGATTCCAACGACTTCGCAACAAGCAAAGGCAGGAATTACCACCAAGGTCCTGAATGGCTCTGGCCCACTGGGTTCTTCTTGCGTGCATTACTGAAATTCGACCTGAAGAGGAGAAAGGGGCCAGCAGAGAGGACGGAGGCATTCCAACAGATCACACAACGATTGGTTGGGTGTAAGAAGCATATCCAAGAGAGTCCATGGGCGGGGTTGACGGAGCTAACGAATAAGAATGGAGAGTATTGTCATGATTCGGTAGGTTTCTGGTTTTCAGTCTCTTTTGCACGATGCCGGTACTAATGGTCATTGTAGAGTCCAACGCAGGCGTGGAGCGCAGGCTGTCTGATCGATCTGTATCATGATACGGCGCAGTATGACATCTCTCAGCTGTCGACGTGAAGGGTGAGAAGACTAAATGGAAAGGCGGGGAAGCCTCTAGGGAAAGGGAAGAAATTGGACATGGCTGGAATGATGGAATGACTGGACGAATTCATGGGTACACACTTGGGATGGCAAGGCGCAAATGGATAGGACAATGGCGGAAAGGCAGAGACGAAAGGAAAGGAGCAATAGATAAGACAGAGATTGCCGGCTATGAATATTTCCTATGTTCAAGACCATGATATTCCACTCCCCAGCAGAGGTTTTATGTGTTCCTCCTATGTTAACCCCAGGTCAATCCCATTTCAAGCCAACGTTGAAAGAGTTGAAAGTCTTCATTCAGCATTGTGGACTTGACAGCATTCAAGTGGATCCTGAGACTTGAGAATGGCAACAAAAGTATTCCGCTCTGCTGATCGTGGCCCGCCTTTCAACTCCGTCGCCTCGCGCCCATTGGCGGCATCTGGCGGCCGAGCCGTGCGAATACCCGTCAGTTGCCGTGCCGACAAAATCCCACCTCACAGAAGGCACGAACGATGAACCGATGAACCAGGAAAGGGGAAAACCCCCATTCTCGATCAGATCGATTCGTTCGGGCGACCTGCCTTCCTGTTATGAACCCCCCGCCATCGGCTATTATTATTAATAGAGGGGTCAGCGATGTAGCAAAATATTCGTGCGAAGGAAGGTGTTAGTTATTCCTTCTTCCGTCTTCCTTCTTCAACACCAAAAGCAAAAAGCAAAGATTTATAGACACAAGGGAATTGAACAAATATAAAGTACGGAAATCATGTATCCCGATACTTTTGAAGGCTTTCAGACCGACTCCTCGGAGACGTGGACTACTTTCACTAAGAGAGAGGTGCTTATCCACGAATCCCCTCCCCCTCCCCCTCCCCACCACAGCACGATAGCGATCTCGAGCCCTCCTTGCTAACACCCCTTCTCCAGTTCAAACCCAAGCCATTCGAAGACCACGATGTCGACGTGAAGATCGAAGCCTGCGGCGTCTGCGGCTCCGACGTGCACACCATCACCGGCGGCTGGGGCGCCAAGAACTTCCCCTTCTGCTGCGGCCACGAAATCATCGGGAAAGCGGTGCGGGTCGGGCCCAAAGTGACGCTGATCAAGGAGGGCGAGCGCGTCGGCGTCGGCGCCCAGATCTACTCGTGTTTGGAGTGCAAGCAGTGCAAGAACGACGATGAGACTTATTGCGTGCATCAGATTGATACCTATGGTGCCATCTGGCCTGGCACGGATATCGTTACGAATGGTGGGTTCGCAAGCCATATCCGCGTGCACGAGGTTAGTTCCCCCTCTTCGGATTTCATGATCTGAGCTAACGAAGAGGTGAAAATCAGCATTGGGTATTCCCCATCCCCGACGCGCTGGAGACGCACATCGCAGCGCCGATGCTCTGCGCGGGTCTGACAGCCTTCTCGCCCCTGGTGCGCAACGGCGCCGGCCCCGGCAAGAAAGTCGGCATCGTGGGACTCGGCGGCATCGGGCACTTCGGGATCATGTGGGCGAAAGCGCTCGGGGCCGAGACGTGGGCGATCTCACGCACGCACGCCAAGGAAGCAGACGCCAAGACGCTCGGGGCTGATGGGTTCATCGCCACGGCGGACAAGGACTGGGAGGTGCCGCACCGCATGACGTTTGACCTCATTGTCAACTCGGCGAACAGCACCGAGGGATTTGAGTTGGAGAAGTATCTGTCCCTGCTGGATGTGCATGGCCGCTGGATCAGCGTTGGGTTGCCCGAGGGCGCGGGTCAGGAGGTTAGGTCAACTACGTTTATAGCGAATGGATGTTTGATTGGAGCGACGCATTTGGGATCCCGTAAGGAGATGATCCGAATGTTGAACCTGGCTGCGGATAAAGGGCTGAAAAGTTGGGTTGAAAAGATCCCTATCTCGGAGAAGGGATTGGCGGAGGCGGGTATGTCTTGTTTTTCCTTTCTTTTCCAAACCCCCCGGAAATGCAGATATGAGGACTAACATCATACGCACTGCAGTAACGCGACTCAAAAAAAACGACGTCAAATACCGCTTCACCTTGACAGACTACGACAAGCAATTCTCGTAGACGAAAATGTATGTATCTTGGGGAGTTAGTTGGAGGCGGGGAGTTGCGAGGTGATGAGTGATGAGTGATGAGTGATGAACCCTGGGGGAGTTGTATGTAGCTAAGTAGGCAAGGAGTTGTAAGTGGAGTGCGCATGCGTGTACATGCTTGGTCTGTCGCTTTGCCTTTTGCTAAAAAATAGAATTAAATCAGATCGAGCCAGATCATATTCATACCCTCTTCTACAAGATTTAGTGAAGGGATGGATGTGTATTTGACATACGTCTCTAGCAAAGGGAGAAGATACCTTAGATAATAAAGTCAAGTCGAGAAGATACCTTAACTAACTTCCTTCTATTTTCATTGCTTTTGAAGTATATGTCCTCCTCCATCCATACCTCCCCCCTTCCTTCTCGTCCCTCCTTCTTCCAAACGAAAAAAAAAAAAAAACAAATCCCAGCCCCCTAGTCATCTAATCCATCAAACTCTGCATTTCTCTCCTTGGACTTCTAACTTCTCAATACCTAAGGTACCTAGGAACTCTTAAGGTTGTGTAGTGCGTATCACGTGATATCAGCATTTAGGTACCTCACCCTCCTCCTATAACAGGGGGACAGGTAAGTTTTTTTCGAGACCGGATGCATGTATTGGATACCTATGGCGTGAAGGATTGAGGGATTTTGTTATTATTAGAGAGTTCGCTGTGTTTTCATTTCATTACTTAGGTAGCTTATTGTTTTAATAGACATTCAACTATCATCCAAACGTATCCCTTTTTCCCGCAGCACGCTCCATGCCCAACCCTCTTTCCCCTCCCCTCCCATCTCCTCATCCCCATAATCATCCCCCAAAGTCCTCTCCCCATCTCCAAAAACCCTTTTAAAAAAGCCATCATACATGGCCCACATGGCCCACGTCACACCTTCCATAAGCCTGGCCAACCACCCGGGAATCCTGCCCTCGTCATCCGCTAGCACTTTCCCCAGCCCGAGAAGCAGCGCTAGGATCGGGGCCCAGATGCCCAGGAACCAGACCTGCCCGATGCGCTGCCGGATGGTCGTGATCCGATACGCGCGCAGACTGTAGAGGTAGGCGAGGTAGGAGGCTGGGAGCTGGTGCTCTTCCGCACCATCCGTGATCAGTTTGAGATAGCGCGGCGACGGCTGCGCGTAGGTAGGGTCCGGACGCAAGGCGCGGGCCTTGTCGGTTTGTGGGCAGAGGAGCGTGTGTGCGAGGAAGGGCGCGCTGTTGTTGTCGGGAGTCGAGCGGAGCGGGTGGCAGGGTACGGTGATGTCGAGATAGCTAGAGCCGCCGCCTTCGGTAGCGATGATGGTGCGGTAGTCGGCGGGCGTGACTTCGTAGACGACGCCGATGAGGCCGTGCGGCCAGCGAGAGGAGGGCGAGGAGGAGGATCGATAGCAGGTGTTGGCGAAGCAGGGTTCTTTGTAGGGGATCCCCGGGAGGTCGAAGGTGAGGGAGAGGGACGGGACTTGCACAGGGATAGCGGAGAGCGGTTGGATGCCCCGCATGCCTTTGAAGGTCTTGGCGGAGAGGTTGGAGCCGTAGGCTAGGTAGAGAATGGTCTGCGAGGAGGTGGAGGAGAGGCGGGCCGGGGTGGTGAGTGGGAGTTGGGCGGTGGGTGGAGCGCTGGGCCTAGAGAGGGGCCAGAAGTTTTGGAGGGCACGGTATATCTGTTCGCCACGAAGGCGTGCGGGTGTTGATTCGTGTGAGGCCATCTTGGTAGAGGATAACGAGTGAAGGGTTGTGTAGAAGGAGGTGTTCGACGAGGACAAGCCGGAGATCCTCACTTGATTGATTGGCTAGCCAGTCAAACGTATGGGAAAGAGAGAGAAGAGAGGGTATGAAACAAGCAGAACGAAGGAAACGTCAAGGAGAAGACGATGGCAGTGAACAGAGGTCGTCTGCGTTGCTTACGCACACGGGAACTGGAGGAAAACATCGCCAGTGGGGATGATTGGTTGCGGGGCCGTTTAGGCTCGGCAGAGGAGAGATAAGGACAGGACAGGGGAAAAGACAATACTTTCATATTGGAAACCACTTGGTCAATATAATTCTCGACACTTGCAAGTGAAGAAGTGAAGATATACAGAGATACACGACCAGGAATCTGAGAGAAGAGCCTTGTGTGAGAGTGAGGGTCATAGGCAAGGCTGAGGCGTGCTCCTATTGGCTGGGGCCGATGGCGATGGATCTGCTGCGATGTCGTGATTGCCGCATTGGTCCGCAAAGGCCTATGATAGTAAACAAGATACCTATCTGGGTTATCAGAACGGAAGATATGAGATTTCAAAGGCAATGTAATATATAAATGAAGTCATAATGAAATAAGATTCACAAGCTACAACCAATTCATTTCAACGGCGTTCAGTTGCTAGGTAGGCTGCCGGCCATTGTGTAATTTGTACCGTATAAAAGGATCTATCCAGTGGTGCATGGGAGGTAAAAAACTGTATTTGAAGTGGCGAATGAACCGAAAGTAGATTGAACCCGAATTGATTGAAGTTGAATTACTCAAATTCTGAATTGGATTGAATTCAACCACCTTGTTTCGATCTACTTGAAGACGTTCTGCGCGCACTGTGCAAGAGAAATAAGGGGTAGCGAAGGAGAGCCCAAACACCGTCGTCCGAAACTCTCTAACCGAAATCCGATAAAGGCCCCTTTTACCGTTGCTGGTACAGTAAATGCGATAGGTGAGAAAAGAGCCAGTTAGACTTTAGATCGTTAAAGCGTCAAACAGCTTCTCCTGCAGCCAAATCACGTGATAATCGGACGGTTTGTCGATGCAGCTGCTGGAAGGGTATTGATGAGATAGAAGTAGCAAAAGAATATTAGAGAATTGATCCTCTTTAGAGAGTAAGAATACTGGATCCTCCATAAGTCACGGCTTGTTCTCTGAATGATAGGTATCTACTCAATCCTCATTGGTGGGCTTGACGCTTAAGCGCGCCTCTCCGTCAATATTTCAAGCTGTTGACCTCAAGACTCCACCAAGACTTCTTCAGAACCACCATCACCAATACCAACCCACCATGCTGTGCAAAGCGCCCAACCTGCGCACTGCAGTCCTGGGCTGCAGGATACAACCCACAATCCTCACACCCTGCGCATACCACACCACCGCGCCCAGCAGCTTTCGACCTACCCCCGACCCCTCGCGCACAATCACACGCCGACGAGTCCCTCTCCCCAAACACAATGTAGTATTCCCAGCTACCTCATCCAGCATCCGCTGTGCCTCCTCCGTATCCTCAGCCCAGGGGTCTTCGCCATCCAGCGCCCAGAGCACAAGTAGCAACAAGAAACCGACCGAGATCCTCGACTGGAACACTTTCTTCCGCCTCCGACGCCGACGGCGCTTCTACCAGTTGGGATCCTCAATCACGACTTCGGCGATGGGGTTCGTGTCCGGGGCGGCGCTGGTCAGCTCCGCGAACATGGACGCGCTGGTCTCGCAATTGCCGCTGGATCCCTTCATCTCTCTGGGACTGGTGACATTTACATGTGCTGGGGCGGGATGGCTGGTGGGACCCATTCTCGGGACGGGGGTTTTCAACTTGCAGAATAGGAGGTTTAGAACACAGATGGATGAGAAGGAGAAGGAGTTTTATAGAAGAGTGAAGAAGTTTAGGGTCGACCCCAGTGCGAGCAGTATGGCGAATCCGGTGCCTGGTGAGTCTTGGTTCCTTTAACAGTTAGGGAGTTTATGCTGGGAGAGGGGATGCTAACGAGATATTAGATTATTACGGAGAGAAGATCGCCAGTGTGGCTGGTTACCGGCAATGGTTGAAGGACCAGAGGGCTTTCAACAAGAAGCGACAGACTTACCTCTGATCCCTTCCCTACTCGATGGTGGGATAGTTGTGGAATTTAGCATTGGATGGTTGAATATTCGGGGCACAATGGAATGGGATCGGTGGCTACACATGTATCGTAAACGCATGTATTGTAAGCTACGAAAATGGCGTTCGTGACACACAGATCTCCTTTGTATTACCAAGCTTGTTCTGCTCTGTGTATAAATAAAAACTAAATCTCCTCCCAAAGTTAATATTCAGGCCAATTCTCATCGACTTGCTGTTTCCAAGCCTTAAGTCCACCCCGTATATCCCCTATCCACCTCTTCCCACCAGAATCTAGCCCACTCTCTTTTAGTTTCCTCGTCACAACCTGACTATCATTTCCCAATCTGCAGACAACATATATCGGCGCCTCCTTGGGCAATGACTCCGGTAGCCAAGTCGGGACTTTTCCATCATTCTCGGCTTTAGCCCCGCCCTGGAAGGCTGAGAAAGGGATATTGATACTCCCATCAAGGTGGCATATATCAAACTGCACCTTCTCCCTGACATCCAATAGTAAGTGCTCCCTCTCTCTGATCTTGGCATATTCGGCTGCCTCTATCCTCTCCTCGGGGGTCAAGACATTAGCCGATGAGGCAAGGCCGCAAAAAAGGACATAATCCAAACTGCCACTTTGTAAGCCCTCTAAACTCAAGCCCGAGTCCTTAGAACAAGCGAAGCATCCTGGTCTCCTGGATCGTAACCTTACACTTCGGAACGGTTGTGGGCTGAGCGCTGAGAAGAGCAGCATGGACGTTGGCGTGGCCTTCAATCCCTCTTGGATCTCTGGGCTAGGGGCCAACTTCCCCTCGACGATAATCTTGATAGCTTCCACCGCTTGGAGAACACCCATGACGCCCACCACCGGGCCCAGAATACCTCCATCCCCGCAACTCACCACGCTTTCCGCGGGTGGAGGTTTCGGGAACACGCATCTGTAGCAAGGCCCTCCTGCCTCATTGCCGGGTGGCAAAGGGGGAGAATTGAGAACTATCAGCTGGCCATCGGTGCGAAGTGCAGACGCGGAAACCAGCGGTTTGGAGAGAAGAACGCAGACGTCTGAGATGAGGTAGCGAGATGCGGGGTTATCTGTGCAATCGAGCACCAGATCATATCTTTCTACAATCTCCTGGGCATTTTGGGGAGAGATATGCTCGGTATGCGCGATGTAGGTAGGGTTTGGGTTCAGTCTAGAGAAGATTCAGCAATAAGAAAGAAAGCGAAGGGGGAATTGGAGAATGGCGAAGGAAACGAACGATTTCAGATAGCTGATGGCAGATTCGGCTTTCCGCATCCCTACTTTACTCGTACTGTGCAGTATTTGACGGTGTAGATTCGATGTCTCAACCGTATCACCATCCACGATTCCTATGGTGCCTACACCAGCGCCAGCAATGTATGCAGCAGCTGGACATCCTAGGCCACCAGCTCCGATGATAAGGACCGAGGAGGATTTCAGACGGAGTTGGCCTGCTTGGGTCAGCGGGAGTCAAATGCCGAAAAAGACAGAAAGTGAAGACCTTGAATGCCAATACTAGGGACTATCATCTGCCTTCCATATCTTTGATATTCCTCATTCAACAGTGGCCATTTGGCGCTGCCATTCTGCGGAGTCACGGGACCGCCGTTCAGCGACAAACCATTCAGATATCGTGCTGCATCAGAAGCTTCCACTTGGGCTAATTCATCCTTCAGCTTCTGAAGACGAGCTTCTGTCGCAGCTATTTGCTCTCTCAAAGCCTGTGCGCTGGCGCTGGCTGATTCCATATTCCTTATCTGATTTTTCGGTGTGTTGTGGAAGTCGCCTCAAGCAAGGCTGAAATCGTCGCGAACTTTTTTGTTCGCTTGAACTTTTCCAACTCCTCCACAACCTCGATTTTTGTATACCACGACACAGGTCAAGATTCCTCAGTTGCTGAGTTTGATCTTGACTCTTTGCAATCATGGTAGTACTACCCATTCCCGTACTTTCTTTTGCAGAGCCTAACAAACAACCCTCAAGGCGCCGACCGCTCCCAAAAAGCGCCCCTCCATGCGCTCCAAAGCCAGCGCTCCCAAGTCTGGATCCGGCCTGATGGCACGTCCAGCGGTACATCGCGAAGGCGCAGAGATATCCGACCGTTTTATCAATTCCAAGAAAGACAAGCGGATCATCAAGCATTCCGCCTTCGTGAACCGCATCGAGAAAGCACACAAGAAACCCTTGAAGCGACGACGGCCGAGCAAGAAGCTGGTCACCACCATGGAAAGCTTGGCGGATGCGTTGCCTGATTTACAAGATCTAGGGGGCTTGGGTGGGGGAGATGCTGCGGCAGAGGGGAAGATCAAGCAGAAATCTATGAGGAGCAGACCGGGAGCGACAAAACGGAAGGAGAAATTGGAGAAGATGGAGAGGGAGAGGTTTGGGAAGAATATGGCGCAGTTGGTAGCTGGACGGACACAGAGTGTTGCCAACACGGATACGAATAATATGCAGACAGAGGGTGGTGAGGGTACGCAGGCACAGTCCACTGCGACAGGGAGCAGGTGGGCTGCGTTGAGAGGATTCATTTCACAGACTTTAGAGCAGAAGGAGGAGTTCAGGAAGTGATAGATGTTGGGAGTTGGCTTGCGTGGTTGAGGTATGTGTATATTCTGGCATTTATCTGTCTACGGGCAGCAAGTTGGAAGTTGGAAGCTGGAAGTTGGAGTAACGAGGGGCGGCTCAGTTTCCTCCCTTAAAATCAAGATACCCGGGAACATCGATTACATTTTCATTGGCCCTTCACCATTGCACCGGCTCCCGCCCTTTTTCTCTTAAGTCTTCATTCAATCGCACGTCACTCTTGACCTGTTCACTCTATCGATAGGGAATTCTCTACTGACCGCCTCAAGAGATCATGATAAGCAGCCGGACTTCCTATCGTGCGCGTCACGTGTCTCAGGCCCCGCCCTACGTCATAAGATACTCTACAACTCCTCCGCGCCCTTCTCCTCTCCCAGATACAAACACAAAGATATCGCAGTGGACGATCCCTTTACCAAAAGCATACCTCTACAATGGATCCCCTCACCAACAAAGTCATAAAAGTGAGCATCCCTCGCTCCTCCCTAGACTCAATCCCTACCTCCTTCGCGACTGTTTCCCTCGGTAAACCGTCCGACTCTCTCCTGTTGAAATTGTCTGCCATCTCCTCGGCCGGCTTCAAGGGAGTGGAGCTCGGCTTCCCCGATCTTGTTTCTTTTGCTTCCGAGTACCACAAAAAGGAGATCAAAGAGGATGATTATGATCGCTTGTGTGAAGCAGGAAAGGGGGTGAAGATGATCTGCGAGCAATCCAACCTGAAAATCATCATGCTGCAGCCGTTCTCCAATTTCGAGGGCTGGAAGAAGGGGAGTAAGGAGAGGAAGGAGGCATTCGAGAGGGCGAAGGGCTGGATTCGTATCATGCAGAGTGTCGGCACCGATATGTTACAGGTGGGCTCCAGTGACTCGCCAAATATCTCGACGTCAAAGGAAGACATAGTCTCCGATATCCGCGAGCTGGCAGACATGCTGGCTGAGCACAAGTTGCGTCTGGCGTATGAAAACTGGTGCTGGTCGACTCATGCGTGCGTTATTTACCCTCTGCTCTTCCCAATCCTCAAGAATACTAACACCTCCCCAGGCCAACTTGGCAAAATGTATGGGAAATCATCAAGGAGGTTGATAGACCAAACGTCGGTCTCTGTCTTGACACTTTCCAGACTGCCGGCGGCGAATACGGCGATCCCACGACGTCCCACGGCCTCATCTCTGACAAAGGGATCCAGCATAAACTTGAAATGAACTTCAAAGCTTCGCTCCTCGCTCTAACGCGCGAAGTCCCTCCTGAGAAAATCTACCTTCTTCAAATATCAGACGCTTACAAAATGACCACGCCTATAAGAGACGAGGTTGTGGATGGGTTGAAACCGAGGGCCAGATGGAGCCATAGCTACAGACCGTATCCTTTCAACGGTGGATATCTGCCTGTGGTGCAGGTTGTGAAAGCGGTGCTGGGGACGGGCTTCAGGGGCTGGTTCTCCATGGAGGTCTTTGATGGTGGCCCAAGCGGGTCTAAATTTACGAAAATAGAGGACTTCGCATCGTTTACGAAGGGAGCCATGGAGAGCCACAGGAAGCTATTGGACGCGAGTGCGGATAGCTAGTCGGCCTGATTGAAAGAAGAAGCGGATAATCTACGATGCGCTGTGCACATGGTAATCGCCCTATATCGATGGCTGTTCCGGCTTGTTATAGCTGTGGGGCTAGGAATAGAAACGGTCTTGTTGCAAGGTCCACTCGGCCCGCAAAGGGGCTATCTGCGGCACGGGAGGCCAGTGGCAGGCAATTCAGGTCTCTTACCTCAGATCGTCTATTCTTATTCTCGCTTCAGCCTTAGATAGGTAGTCAACAATATCTATAGACATATCCGTGCCGTGGTCCATACCTATCCATATCGTCGTATACACTGCAGGACTTTCCACATCACGAGCTGAAGAGCCAACCCGCGGGAGCAGGGTCATCGATCGAAAGAGGGGCATTACCACCAAGATATAAATTCGAACTAGCGAGTACCTTAGTATTGAAGCGATCACTATGGCTGTCTTAATATAACCATATCAATCGATAAATTTCCAAGGCATATTCTCTCTTCCCTAGCCGTCTCTCGCTCGCTGCGCTGAAAATGCACTCTGCTTGCTTGCTCAAGATAACCAGTCTTGAAAATATTCTAAAGGTCTTCCTTTCTTCATCTTGGTCCTTGTGTAGGACGGTCCAAGAGCGGGTAATAAATACATCCGGGATCAGTTTTTGTCAGAAAGATAGTCAGTCTCTCTCTGCCTTCCTTCTTCTTCAGGCTAAGACTCATGCATGGAGATCTTTGGAGCAGTTTTTATAATTAAAATCAAATATAGAAGCTGTGCATATGAACAGCTCTCGGATCTCCTCTTGGAAAACTTGAGTGAGATATCAGAGTCTGTGTATGTGGTAGTAGCAGCTGCATGATGTTCCTTTTCCAGGCTGAGATCACTGTCAAACAAATAGAAGGTCGTATCACAATAAGAGGTGGTAATAACAGAGCGAATTCAAGTGGATTAGAACAGGATTGAATTCTTAACTCAAAAAGGGGAGTTCTATTTACAGGTAAAGGCGTGATATCCGCCGAAAATGGGATATAGGTGTCTGAGAGCCTGTGTCAGGAGCAATCCTCTTGATCAGTGTGTTAAGCCTGTGCATTGATCAAGCTACCAGACGTTACTATATACATGATATAAGCGAGGGGCACATAACAGCCTGAATATCCAACAGTTCCAAGAGGGGCCAATAGAGACTATTAAACAGTTGGTAATTAGGGGAACGAGATCCGTTATTTTGGTAGGTGATCCCCCCAGCTCGACAATTATCGAGAGTCTGGAGGTCAAGTTCAAAGCTTCGAAGGCGGAACTTCCCTGTCTGAGATCTGCGCGGACGGCGGACACCAAGGTAGATCCTAGCCAGACATTCAGATTCTCTGGATCTTTCAAGACCGCCATCTTGTCGTACTTCTGGGGACAGTAGACCGTTATGATAGCTTGATGAACAAGCTTTGGAAGCGAATGGATTAGTTCTGTCTCAAGAATGTTTGTCATCTCGCGTGGTGAGATCCGAGAGAAGTTGGCCAGATTCTTCTTCCACCGTCTTCGCCGTCGGGAGTGATGAAGTTGTAGACTTTCGGCACGCGAAGTCTGCCGCATAAGCTCGAGCCTGCCTTCTTCTGCTTCGACCAGGCGCTGTAGGAGCAATAACTCTGCAGAATACCCCCTAAGTTTAACTTAGATGGCCGGGGACCAGGCTAAAAACTTTCCTATTTTGCTGGCTGGCTAGTTGTATATAATGAGCTGTCGCAGGACCGAAAGAGCCCCGAGCCCGGCAAAGCCAATCACCACACCGACAATATCGCTCCAGAGAGCCATTGTTGCTCTTGTTGCTGTAACCTCGTTTGCCGACGTTCCCCATAATATAGCGTTCCTCTCCGTCGACGTGTATAGGTCCCGGTACCGGCTTGCGCATGAATGATGGTTTGGTTCGACCGTTCAGACAGGCCATCCGCAGCAGAATGAATTGCTGTGGTAAAAGCCAACTCAGTGTGTGCCAGTTGCAAAAGGCGTATCCAGAAGGCCGACAAAAACTCAGAATCCCTGTCCTCGCGCAAGGTGCCAAACGGAATATTCGATATCTCCGCTGATGATCGCACCGTAGATACGAGTGTGCCAATGATAATCGTTCCACAATTGGCCATCCCTCTTCAGGTCACGTTTGTACACTCTATTTGTGCCCGCCTACTCATAGATCTCGCCGCAAAAGCCCTTTCCGATAGATCGGAAAACTTGGAGTTGCGTGGTGGACGGGGCTTCTTGCTGCCGAATGGCGTTAGAAGAGGCCGTAGATAAGACAGGTCTGGCAGACAACCACCGCTCGAGCGCGCTTTTGGCAGCAGGCTCATCTTTTCGGTTTTCCTCATCGTCTAAGTTAAAGTTGAGCTGGTGAAGGTCCTCGTCGTCCAGTAGCGAAGAGCGGCCGCGGCGGGGTGACAATCTTAATCGATACTCAAGTTGGAGGTTAGAAAGGTTACCTAGTGGTAGATGAAAGAAGAGCAACTCAAGAGTGTAAAGGTCTTGAGAGGTAAAAGCAAGGTAAGTTGTTATCTGAGGGATCGGCCGGTAGTCTAAATTCAAATGTGATTTCACGCGGTAGGTACCTTAAGGTACGACTGGAAGGAGGTAAGGGCCCGCCCACAAGCGAGCCGACAAGCGAGCCGACAAGCGAGCCGACAAGCGAGCCGACAAGCGAGCCGACAAGCGAGTCTACATGAACCTGGAAGTAACTGTACACTTACCTGGTACAATCAATCATGCTCGCTTGTTTAGTACGCTAGTGCAATCAGGCGACCAGCAGTCTAAATCACAGTTTGGGTGACCCTGTCATCTTTACAATTCTACCTACCTACTTTACCTTATCCAACTGGCAAAGTAGTCATATTCTACCCCCTCACTTCAGTTCGCATAAAGCCAACATCTTATTCCCGAGAGAAACTTTATCCACAAAGGTAGCGGAAAGATTTAACTTATCTACCCCGACATGGATCCCGCTGTGGAAGTCCCCGCTAAGGACATTGAACAACTCACAGACGAGCGTGATGTTCTTGAAGCGCAGCGAGATCATTACCGGGACCGATGTGAGGAGTTAACGACTGAGCTCAATGAATGCAAGCAGCAGCTTCAAGGCAAATTCCAGACATCAAAATGCGCCACTGATCCGTCCATATTCGATAATGAGAGTCTAGAGAGATTGCAAGAATGGCAAAAGTGTCTGAACTACTGCATTGAGGAAAAGATCGAGAGAATGAAGCTGGAGGGGAAGGAGATATCACCAGAAGCGGACGGAGAGAAGCAGAGAATAGGAGACCAGTCGAGGTGCAGTAGCAATAAGCAACGCTACGAGATGGAGCTTCCTTTCAGCCCCAGTAATTTGTCGGGGTTTTTGACGAAGAATCACAAACTTACGCAAGGCCGCACCCAGTATCCAGAGCCGCGGCCAAAGAAACCTTAGGTACTTTCTAGCTTTAGTCTATTGATCATCTTTCCCACCAGAGGGAGCAGTTCCTCAATTTTGTACCGAAATATCTATACATCCTCACCATTCAGTCTATTGACCCTTGTTAGCGAAGCGGAAGATTATTTATTACCTATAGCGAAGCCAACGAACATCTAGGGAGGGGATAGTATAAGGTAAGGCATCATCTATCTATAAGGCCATCAGCCCTGCGACTTAGCGGCGGGCGCCATCAGGGACCGAACAAACCTTAGCTTACTTACCCTTGCTTCGGTATGGTGGGTTTCTTCCTCACATTATAAAGGCAGATCTCATTAGTTGTTGTATGCCTCCTCAAAGATACAGTTCATCACCAAGGACCTCACTCATGCTACTCACTAGGATCTGTACACCATCGCTTCTTCATTACTATGACACTTCTGTAAAGCTGCATCGCCATGGCAAGATAGCAGACACCAGTTGTATTATACATCAAGGAGCTTGCCAGTGAACGCTGCTTTTTTGAACCCCCCTCCCCTCCCAGCCATGCCCAGTTGCGCCAATGCGCTCAAACCCTGAATTTGATACCGAAGCAGATCAAGGACGTGACACCAAAGAAGCCTCCGTCATCACAAATATTCGAGCCAAATCACGCTGACCGCTGGCATGGTGCCTTCGGCTGTGGAAGTCGGAAAGCATCGGCTCCACAGGTATATATGTAGCCGTGCAGCCGTGCAGCGGCAGCAGCTAGTGTTCCTCCCCATCCTCACTCCCCGCAACCTCTCACCCGCAACCTCATATCCTCTGGTAGAACAGAAGATAGGCCACCTTGTTATCCTTCGCTGAGGACTTCTCGCTCCTGCTCTTGGGCCGGGGCGTGCCGTTGACAACGTTTGACCACTTCTTCCCAGATCCATTCGCCTGCCTCCATCCATCTTCGTCCCCAGCCGCTTCCTCATCCTCTATGGCAGAAAAAACATTGCCTGAAGATGGGCTGTCTCTCCTCTGAGATTCCAACGCGGCCGCAAGGACTTTAGGATCCTCCTCACTTCCACCTTCAGCAACATCTTCGCTCCTCACACGCTTGATGACGGTATCATCAAGTCTGATCCATTCACGGCCATCCTGCCTCCTGACATCCACAGTGTAATGACCACCGCTTGCATTTTTGCCATGGTGGTAGACGACCGCAATCAGGCGATATTTCGGGAGGCCCCCATGAGCATAAACACTACGTTTCTGCCGAGGGAACACCTCCTTTGGTATCTCCAGCTCTAGCGGGTATCCAACCTTCTTCCAGATCTTCTGAGTTCCGCCAGTATTGTCGTACTGGAAACGCTTCAAGTGCAAAATCAGAACGGGAGGAACAGTCTCAATGAAGACCTGCTTGGTAGCAGTGACATTGGGACCCTTCGGGGACTTGAAGTCTCCGTGTAAAGCTTCAGAGCGCGTCAAGCCTTTCAACGCGTCAACGATATTATGGACGTTGGATGCTCCAATATCGAGCTGTAGTGGTTGGTAATGTTCGAGTGTGACGGAATCCTTCAGACCAGGTACTCGTAGTTCTGATCGCAAGTTGCCTCCGAAGATTTTGGTCACTGGAGAATTCGTCGTAACTATTCCAGATGACCGAGTAACGGCTTGTTTCTGCTTTGGTCCAACCTCGAGCCACCCATTTTCCTTCCCAGACGCAGATCCCACATCACTTGCAGCGTCGCTGACTGGAGATGTTGGTACATCTATCAGATTGGCCATATCAGAGGCCGAATTTGCCGAACTGGTTCGCATAACATGGACGCACTCTTCATGGAGCCCGTCTAGTAGGAAACCAAGGAACTCCTCCGCATCTTGCTGGTGGCCCCGCTATACATCCTTTAGCAATCTGAATTGGTGGAGATGAGACCGAACTTACCTGCATAGTGACGAATCGTGGCAGGCGCTTGATAACATCGTAGACAAAATCGGGGGTGAAGGGTTCTCCATATTGCTCGAGTTCACCATCTTTAAGTCGTAGTCTTAACTGCTCAACCGATGTTGCCGAATCAATAATGGGATACTCTCGAATGAACATGATCCTGAGGGGTTTAGCAATGTTCCTGATGTTTTTCGGGGTGATGGGGAGTTAGTTGCAACTCACATAGCATCGAGCAAAGGGGTGTCACTTTTGAAACTGTAAGCAGCACGCTTTCCGACTTGATCCAAAAATTTGTAAAAAGGTGTACAGAATACCAGAACTTGCAGCACCTACACGTCCGTCAGCACTAGGGTATGCAAGAAAAGTCGGCGCTGACTTACTGAATTCATATAGCACATATTGCCAGTATTCACAAGACCTCGAGGTTCCAGAAATGCGACCTTCGAGTCATTGGCGGTTGGGCTGTAGGATCGCAGTGCTTCTGCCAAGGATTCCGCATTGCTTTTTCCGAAGCTGGGTGGCATGGCAGCCCGGGCACCATTTGGTGCAGTTGACGCAGTCGCATTGTCTGGATTGAACAGCCCAGTCCACAATTTTGGTGTGGTCCAGGCATTGGGAGGAGGCGAGACAACCTTGGGCTCTTCCGTCCCGGACTTGGCAGAAGCGGGAGCCTTCTCCCCATCTTGTTCGGCTTCTGGAGCTGGTGTTTGCTGCGGCTTTGGTTCTTCGGGCGCCTTCTCCGATACAGGCTTTGAAGCATCTTTAGAGACAGTTTTGGGGACGGCAGGTATTACGGGAACGGCTGGCAAAGTTGATCGGTGAGAGGACTGTGGAGCAACAGGAGTGGTTTCGCCCGGAGCTGGCAAAGACGGCTGTTGTACTGAGGATGGGGTGGTGGGATTTGTAGATTCCGCACGTTCGGATGCTGGATGGCTGGTCGAGGGGGTTTCGGGATGAGGCACTGGCGTGTCTGGTGTTGCTGATTCTTCGGTCTCGACACCGGCGCCTTGTTGTATGACTGGGAGCTCCACGGGTTCGGCCGACAGCTGAGCTGCCTGTTTCCTCCGCCGCCGCGCCTTTCTCACTGGCCATGGTAAATCTGGCCGCGATAGCCAGGGGAGCTGTGGGCAGTAAGCAGGAAGATCAAGGAAGGGGAAAGGAGATTTCTTACGGGAGCTCTAAAGGGAGTTCGGGGGACTTCTGGGGGTGGAGAAGACGGTGGCACGCTCAAGGTCGTCTGTGGCGTAGGAGGGGTCATAGGGCCAGGAACAGTATGCGACGAGTGGGTGGAAGGGGGTGTTTGTGGAGGAGGAGGAGGCGGCGGCGGTTGATACGGCGCTGCCATGGCGGGAGAAGGTTGGGACCGTGGATACGGGTGATGCTGTGGTATGGGCGGATGGGCATAGTGCTGCATAGGGGGAGGAGATCGAACATGAGGCGGCGGCGGAGGATATGGCCCGTACTGGTAGGGCACGGCGGCGCTGTGGTAATGAGGAGGCAGCTGTTGCGGTGGATAGTAGGCCGCGTGGTACGGGTTCATGTATCCATAGCCCATGGGCACGCCCTGCTGGAACTGCGGGTTGGGATTCGGATTGTACTGTCTCCTCCGCCCCATATCCGGTGGCATTCCCTGCTGCCCTGCCGGCAGATGACGACCGTTCATCATGCCGGCTTGGGATGCTGCTCCAAACCGACCGCGTCCTGCGTCGGGTTGGAACTGCGCGGCTCTGCGATGCGCGTTGGCGGTGCGATTGCCGTCGACGAGGACTGTGATGGGCGGCAGAGGCTCAGCGCATCGAACGCGGGATCGATCTACTGCCTGTGCGAGTCGGATTGGAGGACGAGGAGAATCACAGGCGGGTGGTGGTGGTGGTTCGGTGCCGCGAGCGTCGCATGAGCAGATGCTGTTGTCGTCCAGCTCAAATTTATTACCTTACGGTACAGAGTGCTTTTGCAGCCGAGCCAACCTACGGAGATATTCGAGGGACGCCCGAGGATTGGTAAACGGACAGGGCCCGACGCCCACGACGCGGTCTTTGCTGTGGTAACGACAAGGGGCCGGATGGCACGCAGGCTTGCTGTATTAATTATTGGATTTATCAACGCACGTTCAGCCCGTCGAGAGCAGGGCACGAACATGAAGTCGTGAATATCAAAATGCGGCTCTGTGCCGTCCCGAGCGCCGGAGGAGCTAAGGACCACTACGGTGACCTGTAAAGTGCCGAGGCGCGGGCCAAGGATCTCGTCGCCCCTCGGCCAGCTCTGACTCCCCACTACTACAACTCAGCGCCCTCTGGCGTCTGGAGAATATCAACAACATCACTTTTCCAGACCGAACCTCCCCTTCTCCCTTCCCGGCTGATCTTCTTCGCCGCACGAAGAATCTTTCCTCCCAGCACCTTGGAGGAGCTCCTCGTACCCGGCCATTGTGTGCAGCGGCTCTGCGGGCCCGTAGATCAGTCAAGTCGCTCCTCAGATTGCGGTCGACCCAGATAACAATGACTTCTGCTCCCCCCAACGCGTCTTCATCTGGAGGGAAATCTCTTAACATCTCCTCCACGCACCTGCCTTTTCCGCAGCACCAGGCTCAGGTGATATCTCCCAGCTTCGAGTCGACTTCCAGACGTTCCGGCAGTCATTCGAACCCAATTCACGCGTCGCCTCGAAACAACCAGAGCAGCAGGAAGCAACACAAGAACTCGAGAAAGCCAAGGCTAGCGGATGAGGATGCTATGGCTGAATCCGTATGTTTTGGTGACGAATTTTTCAGACCTTGGAGCTAACAGACTCAGGGAGCCATGCGAAATGCCAACAGTCGGAGGGGTCAGACCTCCATCACCCATCTCATGAACTTCACCCTCCCTCCTCGACCGCAAGACACTCGGAACACAATGGGTCGGGGTACTAGGAGGGGCAATATTTATGGGATCGGATCCGGCCATCATTCCATTGATAAGGCGAGGTGGGTGTGCTAAATCTCCTTGGTGGACCTCGCTGATGGGTTTAGATATATCCACGCAAATTACCGCTTCATTGTCAAACCAAACGGCAACTACAAGCAACAGGCCGTGGATGCTAACCAGCATCTGGACTGGAACGATGTGCTGCAAATTCTTGCTTCTGCTGTGTCTCAAGAAGCATCGTGTCCTATCTGTCTGTCCCATCCTGTCGCGCCTCGGATGGCAAAGTGCGGCCATATATTCTGCTTACCTTGCCTGATCCGCTACATGCATTCGTCGGACGACTCAAATCCGATGCCGGAAAAGAAGGCTCGATGGAAGAAGTGCCCGATATGTTGGGATACGGTATACATTTCAGAGACGCGGCCGGTAAGATGGTACACTGGACAGGAAGGGCCACAGCCACGCGAAGGAGATGATGTTGTACTGAGGTTAGTGATGCGGGAACCGGGAAGTACACTTGCATTGCCTCGCGATGGAGCTGAGGCTCTTGGCAACTCGGAGGATGTCCCTTGGTACTTCGCCGCTGAGGTGACGGATTATGCTCGGATCATGAAAGGCAGTGAGGAGTATATGGTACAGCAGTTTGACGCTGAGATTGAGGATCTTAGACGTCAAGAAAATGAGGACGAGCTGATGTTTGGGGAGGAGCCCGAATGGACGAGAAAGGCCGTTAACGCTGTAATGGAGGCGAAGGAAAGGATGAAGGGCATTGGTGATCCACCCATCCCGAAGCAGCCGACAGAAAAGAAACCGAAGAAGCAGCCTATACAGTTCAATCCTACCAACGACGAGGCACCTGCGATGTACTTCGTTCATCACGCATCCAAATCGGGTCTGGATTTATCGTCAAATGGAGTCGACGCTTCCTCAACCCCTGAAGCGGAACTGAGTACACAATCATCACGGGAGCAGATACCGCCAGATCCCTCCCATGAGACTAGTCAGAAGCCTGGTCAGAAGCCTGATCAGAAGCCCGTGCCCTCTCACCCACGGTCTAAAAATCTACATCCTAGCTTGAACGAAGCGCATCCTCCAGAGGCCCCCTATTTCTTCTACCAGGCTTTGCTACATTACTACCTCGCTCCCCTAGACATCAGGATTCTCAAAACTGCCTTTGGAAGCTTTGCTTCTTTCCCTTCCACACTTCTTCCCCGCGTTGAGCGCGTGTCTACTGGGCATATTATGGATGACGATTTACGAAAACGAACCAAATACTTAGCACATCTTCCTCACGGCTGCGAAGTCGGCTTCCTCGAATGCAATTGGACAGACGTTGTGCCTCCTGAGGTTCTAGATCAATTCAAAGAAGAGATCGAACGACGCCGAAAGCGGAATAGGGACAAAGACATCAGAGAGGAGAAGGATAGATTGCGGGCTGAAAAGGCAGAGGATGATGCAAGATGGGCGAACGCAAGAAGAAAGCGTCCCAGTATAGTACAGGAAACCTTCTCCTCTGAAGACTTCCACCCCCTCGCCTCATCATCACTAGATGCTGGCAATGGCTCTCCACCTTGGCCCACAAGACAAGGGTCTTCATTTGCTTCTTTAGCATCACCATCCACAAGCCCTTCGGCACCAAGAACAGTATGGGGAACAACGCTCATCGCACCCAGTTCTCCCGAAACGCATTCCCAGCAACCTGAACCCAGTGGTGATGATGGCTGGCTTTCCTCATGGGAGCAAGAGCTGATGGCAGAGAACGAGCTCATTGCCCAGGTTCAAGCGAGCTCGTTGAATGGAGAGGGAAGCGATAGTACGAGGCCAGGTGGTGGCGGGAAAAAGAAAAAGGCGAAGAAGATCACGTTGATGAGTACAACTGCTAGAAGGGCTGCTTGATTTCCATTTTTTTGTTGGCTGCATGGCACTGCATTGAGCGAATCGGGTGCGGCGTTAAGGTTGCCTACATAATTACGTGGCTTGGATGGGATGGGGGCAAACTTCTGCAATTTGTGCTCTAAGCATTACAACAATGCTATTTTTTGGTTCGAAATCAAACGACTTCCTACATGCAGACATGTGATCTCATTTTTTTTTCAGTCCGTCACCTAGTACTGTATATTCCGAACGGAGTTCTGTGCAGTTTGTACTGTGTATTGAGATTGGTAGCCAATCGGAGGAATAAGCGCTATCCCAGAATATTGGCTTTTGTCGGGCAGAGCACTACTGAGCTGAACTGCGGCACGCTTCCCTCCCTTGCCAGCCAAGGTTCTGGACCGAAGATCTCTCCTACATTAAGCCGGCCGCTTGCAATTTGCTCCATGCAGAGTACTGTGCAGGAATCCCGGCATGAAAGAAAGCGCTGGCGAAGCTTATACTTGAGATCTACTGGCAGGCCCTCCTGGATCTCGCATTCTTTTACGCTTCTTCTCCTCGTTCCCACTTTCGGGCTCAATACGATGTCCTATTCTCGATGCAGGCTCTGGAGCTGTATATATAGGGAACAGCGGTTTCCCTGCTGAATTTAAGATGTTGTCTTTCTATATATGATAATGCACTTTCCAAAAATCCTTATACATGAACCAGAGTTCAGTTTCCGCCCAAAATCCCAAAATGCGCTTTTACACCCTTCTTTTTCCACTTGCTGTGTTCGTGGGCCTGGCGACGGCCAATGATCCACCATATGGCCCTTGGAACATAACAAACTACATCCAAAGACGCTCGTCTGTCGCCCCGTCTGGCTACACGTATAGCTTCAATATCACATACGCACCAGTTCCGGGCTACTCCAAGCCGGGTGATTCCCAACCTCACACCGAGCCAGCCTTCACAACTTTCTGCAAGGGTAACGATACCCAAGGCACGCTGAACCCCTGCGATGATCCTGCCGTGTCGGCGACTACAATTCCAGCACCGGGGCATGCGACGCTCGTGGTGATGCATGTTTACAGTGTGCCGGACTCGCCAGAAACCAGAGCTGTGGAGTATTTTCTGGCGGGGAATACGACGGTGAAGCGGCCGTTTCTGCTTGTGCCGCAGACCCTGCAAATCATTGCTACTCAGGAGACAGTCGAGGCATGAGCTGGGATCTGGAGCTTAAGTCATGTCTCTGCCATGGCCGCTGGAATGATGTGAGAGTGGAAGGTTGGAGGTTTCTTATGACCTGTGTCTTGATAAATGTTATTAATTGTCATTGACAGGTGGCCGGATAGGGGGGCATGTAGAAGAGAGCTGACTGACAATTACCACTGTCTCCCCGACTTTCTGGGTCGTGAGATACTGGATTTTCCATTTTTGAATATATGAGATTTAGACGTTGGGGGAAACGATATTTTTATTTTTACCGGCCATGACGGACATGTATGATAATTCGACGATCTCATGATGAAATGAGGCATTCGGAGCTTATATCCTCCCTGGTAAGGAGCAATACAGTCATTTCTGCTTCGCTGGAAGGAGGGAGAAAAGGAAAAGAGGGGGTCGGAGAGAGCAATTATACAGAGCAGTCCCAGCAAGAGATTCATTCTAGTTGATATCATGACCTTGCCTTCGTCACTCATCAAGTATAGACTGCTGCTTTGCGTATCATCTTAACTCGTATATAATAACACAAAAAGTTGCGCTCCTAATGTCTCTTACAGCAACTATGGATGCGGACCTACCTCGTAATAATCGGGAAGTACTGCCTGGGAATCTGGCTCGTTCACTAATCAGGGCCAGAAACAACGCATGACCAACACAATGAGCAGCTTCAAGATGTAAGGTCTTGAACCGAATTACTGAGGTGAAGTTCTAGAAAGTTGACTTGCTAATTACCTATCTAGGTAGGTACTGTAATGGAGTGGTAGGAGTTGTCTTATTGGTAGGTTGTATTTCTAAGAATGAAAGTGCCACTACTGTAGGGATATATAGCTAAGCGAACCCTATCAAATAGTAGTAATATCATGTGACTAGTTCCTATCGCTACAAGGTACCCCTAGACTTATAGTAAGTACTTACGATCGATAAAAGAAGAGCAAACTATTCTAGTAACCTGTATACACCCTATAATAGCACATTATCAGCTAATTCTAGTACCTGTAATCCCTTGTCTATCTACTAATGTAGTCGCCCGTCTAAACTTAGAAGCTAAAGGGGTTAGTAAGATCTAAGTATCGTGTCCCTAGTCGACTAGCAAACTTTATAGTAGTTAGATTAATATCGAGTACTACTATCCTTATATTATAGGTCTGGTCGGTATCGACAAGGAACCTCGTTATGCCTACTTAATTAGTCCTAGGTATATACACTTTTAAATTATCTAAATAGTATTTCTTAACTCGACTATTACTATATATGTTTGTTACTTTTATAGATATGTTAGATGTTATTCTAGTTAGAAGCCTAGGGCCTATCTATTGTGTCTCTAATTTACGTTCCTTCTCTTTGTCTAGCTAATGATTACGTACAAAGACTAGATCTCCTTATAATAGTTTAGGGAACCTAAGACTCTTTATATTCTCTAACTTTAAGTAAGTATATACGATCGATACTACTACTTAGTCTCTTAGCTCTTTGCGTTTCTCTTAAAGGAATAACTAATACTCTCCTAGAACTACTAATAACGCGATAATATCTGATTAGTGATTATAGTTAACTTACTAAGGTCGTTAACAATTAGCTTAGTTAGTTGTATTTTTAGCCTTATGTCTACTATTATTAAGAGCTACTAGTCGATTAATTTCTAGTATCTAGAGCTATGTTAGGATATATCCTAGTATTATTTTGGCCAGGAAAAAGGAATACGTCCTAACTAGCCTAGTGTTAATTACTAGAGAGATTTTCCTTAGGGCAAAGGGCTATATTAGTGCCGACTAGGGCCCCTTCTTAATAACCTATTTCCTAAGCTATACTAAAACTAACTAAACACATTACTTGATTAAGCTAACTAACTATAGATAGGTAATAGGTACGTAGTCTATAAATGATCTATAAGATTCGAACAAAGTATAGGTCTTAACTATAGTAAAATGACTTTTATTGTCTAGGTATACTCTTTCTAGCTACCTAAAAATTAGTACTAAATAGTTAACCTAAAAATCGATTACTATAGCTAAGTCTACTATTATATAGGCCTTAATAAATACTATTTTAGTAAAGTAATACACGACTAGTAGTACATACTTCTTACTATTCTCTCTTACCGGGTTAATAAGTCTAAGAAAATCTATGCCTACTATTAACTAAGGCTTAAAACAGATAATTAGTTTAATGTTATAGCTCTTATAACGCGGTCTTATTCTCTAACATACCTTATAAGTAGCTAACTAGTTTTTAATATCCTAGGCGTAAGTTAGCTAAAAGAATTAGCCTTATAGATTATATAGAGTTAAAGCGCTTATATAATAACTATAGGCATTATACGCTTATTTTATTACCTTACTTACTTTGTCTTTTAGAATGTATTTTACTAGGTAATAGGTTGCCTGCTCTTTATGTATAAGATAAGATCCCTAGATGTAGTAGCTAATTGCCCTTCTCTTTACTTACTTTCTTTATAACCTTAATATGTGTACGATTCTTGCGTCCCTTACTAGAAGATACTCTAACATAAGACTATATACTTTATAATTCCTTAGTAGACTATACTAGTTATATTCTAACCTCTTAGTTATTAGTGTAGTTATTAGCGCTATAAATACTATACGTTCTGTATTATACTAGACTAGTTTATCTTAAAGTACTTTAGGTAATCTAGACAGCTTATCTACGATTTGTACTAAATTCGATTTCCTTAGCCTATAGTAGACTTTAATGTTATATTTAGTTAGTTGATCTATTTATTATACTATTTTCCTATACGAGTCTAGACTATTCTATAAGGTTAAGATTAATACTATATAATCTATATAAACTTTAGTTAGATAAAGACTCTTTATAATAACCTATCTAACCTCTACTAAATTTCTTACGACTACTAGGGCTTCTTACTTAGTAGTTGTGTACCTAGTCTCGACATCTAATAATTTAAAGGATATAAACATAAGGATACGTATCTAGTCTTTAATAGTTCTCGTTACTTCTGTCTTAGCTAGGGCATCTACTAGCTAGAACAATATCCCTTCTAATCCCTTCTTACTTATATCTTTGTACAGGTAGTACTACTTTATAGGATTAGAGCCTACTATAGTATTATTAACGATATAGTCTTTAATATACTAGAAAGATTAATCTTACGCTTTACCTTATTAAAAAGGTTTTTCTACTTACTTTTTTCTTAATAATTCCTTCTTAGTCTTTAAGGGTATAGTAACCTAATGCTAGTATAATTCCTTAAGAATAAGAACGTAGTTAGCTCTTCTAAGTATAAAAATACGTAGAAATAGTGTAATCTATATAAAATCGTCTACCTCTTGTCAACAGGTTAGGGTAGGCTATAGTACTATACGGTTCTTATGCCTTAATAATAGTCGTAATCCTGTCGAGCTAGCTAAGAATCTAATTACATTAATAGAACTAAAGAAGAAATACGACTTTAAAGGTAAAAGGAAAAGAAGACTAAATACAACCTATAGGAAATATCGTTTATATAAGAACTAGAACATTTCTTTAAAGCCGGTCGTAACGCTAATATAGTTATCTATAAACAGAGTAAACCTAATATCACTATAGTCCTAGATTAATGTAGGTATCGCGGGATAAGTGTTAGTCTTAGGGAGTAGTCTAAAAACCAAATCTGTAAACTAGCTATAGGTATAAGGCGTACCCTTTAATCCTTAACCTATTTGCCTAAATAGATATTAGCTATTTAGTACTGTTATTACTACCTTATATTTATTACCTAGTCTTATTAGTATAGCCTAATAACTATTTGTTATATCTAATAAGAAAAACACTATAAACTTAGGCTTAACTAGGGTATCTAAGACTTCTTTAATACTATACATAAGGTAGACCGGCTTAATAGTTAAAGTATTAACTAGGACAAAGTTATAGACTACTCGGAATTAGTTAGATCCCTTTTTCTTTAGTAAGAACAGAGTCTTTACCTCTTATAGACTTAATCCCCTTACTAAAATGCTAGCTTCTTTTATTTTAGGGAATACCTTTGCCGCAAATTCTCTCTCCTGCCTAGTTGTCAGGTGCGCTAATACGTAAGACTACAATAGCTTAAAAATCAAGTATAGGGTAACTACGTACTATAACTAAGGTAATAGTAGGCATTAAGGAGTATAAGAATAAAGGAGAGAGAGGGAAAAGAAGAGAGGTTTAGAGATTAGTCTATAGTTAAAGTAGTGATATACCTTTAAATATACTACAACTATCTATTAACTCTTACCTCTTTTACTCTATAAAAATATACCTAATATTCTAATCTCTCTCCTTTACTAAAAGGTTATAGACTATTAGAGTAAGAAGCGATAACGTAGACACGACAAATAAACCTTAATAAGACGTAGGCCTCTTCTTAAGTAACTCTTTAAAATACCTCTTTACAGGCAGATAGTAGCGAACCTAGTACAATACCTTAAATGTCGATAAAAATCCTTTTCCTAAGTAAGACCGAGTTAAACAAGAGGATCGCCTAAGTAAGAGTAGAGTAGTACCTTAAGTAAAAGTAAGACTACCTTATAGCGCTTAAGAAGAGAGAGGCTCTCTTAATAAACCTATACGAATTTAATAACCCTCTTAAAGTAGAACAGCCCTTTTAGTAAACCTATATTAAAGAAACAAAGAAGAGCTATTATAACACCCCTTTTATTCTACTAAAAAACAAGACATATACTAGTATTACGACCTTCTTATTTAACTAGAAAACAGAGTTTAATACTTACCTAGAGAGTTATCTAACAGATACTAAACGCGTTAGCGTTGTAGTAACAGTACTAAAGGATTATATTAAAGAGCGCTAGAAGTCTTTTATTTTCTTAGAAAAAGGCGGATTAGTTCTTAATATAACTTAAGAAGAAATAAAGGCGTAGCTCTTCTATAGTATTATAGATAAGGGTACTTACTCTCTTAAAGTAGTATTAAAACTCTAAATATTAACTTAAAACTAAAACAAGACTTTTAGGAATTTCCTTTAATAGTATAACTCTTTAGTTATTAAACTCGGCTACGCCTTCTTAGAGATGTTCTATATCTACCTTCTTATCGATTATTTAAAGCCTAAGTTAAGGGCCTATATAGTAAGTAGTAAGGTCCTAGATACCTTTAAGGTAGTTAAGGTAGTAGCGTTAAGAAGAGAAACTCTTATTTAGACAAGGTAATAAGAAGGCTTTTATAGAGCCCTTTTAATACTATACTATACTAAGAGAGGCTCTTCTTATAATCTAAAGACCTTATCTATACTAGTAAACACGTAGAGAGTATCTAGTAACTAAACTTTAAACACATAAAGAGACTCTCTTAGTGTTACAAAAACCCTTTTAGTAAGTAAGGTATAAAGTAACTACTACTAATACTAGTAGCCTAGTTATTAGGCAAATTCGTACTTACTATACAAATACTCTACCTATAGACAGTCTAGGTATACTTACGCTTAGTACCTTAATAAGGCTAGTACTTTAGGCACTAATACTATACTAGTAGCCTGTTACGTTACGCCTAAACAATAAGAAGAGAGGCGACCCTTAATAAGTATTTAGGTAAAGATACATATTAAGGGTAGCTAAGTAGCTATACCGGCCTTACTAGACTTAAGAGTAGAAGTTAACCTTATCTACTTATAACTATTAAGACAAGAGGCACTATAGTAACTTAATAATT